CAGGCCCGAAGGTATTTGGGGGCAGGTGGAACAGACGGAAGATTACGCAGGACTCCGCAGCTTTGCTGTGCTGATGTGGACAGTACTCCACACAAAGCCCGGTAGGTGGTCTCACGCTGCGGCTGAGACAGGCGCAGGGACCCCTCGCGTTTCCTACCGGTAGCCTTCTCTGAGGTTGCACTTGGGGGTACCCTGCCCCCGAAGGAAGGAAGCCTGGTCGCCAGGGTGGAAGGCTATGGAGGTGCTTCTCTGAGCGGTTCAGCCTCTCGGCCGATTTCTTGGGAAGTTCTACTTCATTCCCCCAGGCAACACCGCAGTCTGGAAAAATCCAGGGAGGAGAGAGATCCAGCACCACATTCTCAGGGATTTCAGGATGGGACCACCCAGGCTCAGACACGCAGTCCAGAGAACACCTTGGGAGGTACAAAACTCATTTTCATTGTTGTTGCTGTGGTTCATCCGGTGCATGTGCTGACGTGGCTCCGGATGAAGCCGGGTCTCCCGTGTGGACACAGAGAGTGCCAGGCCGCCAGTCCCACACGGATGCAGCCCGAAGGAGGGCAGCAGGCAGGACGTGCAGTGCATAGGGCACCCGCATCCGGTCAGGCGCCATCATGACCAGCGCCCCCCGAAGCCCCTTTGTGCTGCCTTCAGTCACTGCCCTGCCCAGGGTCCTGTGCTCCTGACTCGTGAAAGGAGACTAGTCGTGCTCGTGTTTGCCCTCGCGTGCACGTAGTTCATGTGTCTGGCCTTTCCCTCCACACTTCGTGGGAGGACCACGTGCGTGCTGCCCGTAGTATTGTTCTTTCGTTCTCAGGGCTGCTCCATCTCTGTAGGCACCGTTGGCATTTGGGGACAGAGGGCTCTCTGCCGAGTGTGTGGTGGGGCATTGGAGGATGTTCAGCAGCATTCTTGGTCTCTACTCACTAGAGGGAGGGTAGTACCCGCCTCCCAAGTTGTAGCCAAAAATGTATCCAGACATGGCCAAAATGACCTCTAGGGGACAATATCACCCCTGATTGAGGACCACTGCTGCAGAATACTCTGTGATGTGAATATGTCACAACTTTATCATCCACCTGACAGTCATTAGCATTGTTTCTGGTATTTGGCTACCATGAATGGAGCTGCTAGGCCCATCCTTTGACATGCTTTTGGGTGGGCATACGCATTCATTTCTGTTGGGTGTCCAGGAAGGAATTGTTGGGTTATAAAGTAGGCATGTGTTCAGCTCTAATAGACACTGCCAGTTTTCCACAGTGGTTATACCAGTTTTCACTCCCAGAAGTACATGAGTGTTCCAGTCGCTCCACAGCCTCACCAAAAACATGGAGCTTTTACTTTGCATTTCCCAGAGGTTGAACACCTTGACATATGGCTCTTGGCCACTTGGACATCCCCTTAATAAAGTGCCTGTTCAAGTCTCTTGCTCATTTTTTTCTGTAAGATTGTCTGCTATTTTCTTATTGATTTGTAGCAGCTCTTTATATATGGTGGATGAGTCCAGTGTCAGATATATGTATTGCAAATATCTTCTGTCCGTGGACTCAAAGATTTTTAGAGCTAGGAGCACTCTATCCTTCCTGCTTCAAACCTCCTTGTATGCTTGACTGTTATTACTTAACTATCCTTTTTGCAAGAGAGTAAATTTCATATGAGCAGGGACTGTGTGTCTGATTTGTTCACCTTAGAACTCCCAGCAGAGTAGGCACAAAATAAATACCTGTGGAATGAAAGTATGAGAAAAGCTCCCATTGGGATGACAGTTTGCAGCCTAAGGCTTCCACGTGTTTCAGCAGTTGTTGACTCCCAGGCAACCATGCTAAAAGCACAGAGATTGAGGCACCCGCCTGTCCCCTCACCCCCTGCCTAAGGGTGGCAGCCAGCTGCTGAGTCTGTCTGTCGTCCCCCAGCCAGCTGGAACTCTGCCCACATGCACCTGCCCTGAGGGAGGCGGGGCTTCTCCCAGAGAAGTCACATTTTAATTAACTTCTCCGGCAATCACTGGAGAGGCTGGATCATTTTCCTAAACAAAAGAGAGGCTAGAGCTTTGCCTGCAGCTCAGAGTGAGTGGTGTGGGAGGAATTCGAAACAAACCACCCAACAGAGGTGCCCGCCTGGAACTCAGAACCCCATTGCTCTTGAGAGAGGGGGGTCTGGGACTTGAGATGTGGAAGAAGAGGGAGAAAAACGATCAGTTACTGTGTAGAAAAGAACCAATAGTCTCAAAGTAGGCCATATGGACTGCATGTTTGTGTTCCCCTGAAATTCATGTGTTAAAACCCTAACCCCCAAGAGGATGACACTAGGAGTGGGACTTTGGGGAGGTGATTAGGTCAGGAAGGTGGAGCCCTCAGGATGGAATGTGTGCTCTTGTAAGAGGAGGAAGAGAGCTAGCTCACTCACGCTCTGTTGTCCGCCAAGCAAGCGCACAATGAGAAGGCGGCTGTCTGCAAACTAGGAAGTGAGCCCTCCCCAGACACCAGATCTGTTGGTGCCTACATCTGGGACTTCCCAGCCTCCAGAACTGCGGGAAATAAATATCGATAGCCTTCCAGTCTATGATAATCTGTTATGGCAGCCCAAGCTGAAATGCCAAGACATAGGCATTTCACTCATTCTTTCATTCATTCTACCCCTATTTGCTAGCATCTCTTCTATGCTGGACCCCGAGGAAGGAGGGATGAGAACGAAGACCGACTGGGTGTATAGGAGACCTCCATACTTTCTGCTCAGTTTTGCTGCGAACCTAAAACTGTTGTAAAATATAACGTCTGTTTTTGAAAAACTAACCTTAAAAAGTAAAGGCTGGATAAATGCCTCGGTGGCGTACACAGTCTCCTGGGGGAAGACAGACATTAAACTGATCGTCGTGCAACTAATGACTCAATTACACCACTTTGTAATTTTCCAACAGCTTTATTTGAGATGTAATTCACATACCATGCAATTCGCCCATTTAAAGTGTGCAACTCAATGGCTTTTACTATATTCACAGAATTGTACAAGCATCACCACAAGCAATTTTAGAACATTTTCATCACCCTTGCCTGGCCAGCACCCCCACAATCCCTCCATGTCTGCCCTCCACCCGCCCCCAGCCCTCGCAACCACGGACCTACTTTCTGTCTATGGATTTGCCTATTCTGGACGTTTCACGGGAAGGGAGCCACGCAGCGTCTGGCGTCTCAGTATCATGTTGTCGAGGTCCGTCCATGATACAGCAGGCACAAGTGTGTCACTTTGAAAGTGCCGTGATGGGGGCTCGGGGCCCTGACACGGAGGCCTTTCTGGACTGATGCCAATCTGGGGAGGATTCCCAGAGGAAGAGGTTTTCAATATCAGGCATTTGTTGTGCACCTGCTATGTGCCAACGGGAAATAGGAGGCACTGGAAGCCAGGGGTCTGGCTGTCTCAGCATTTATAACCCAGGGAGGGTGGGCCTGCACGTGTATTCGTGGAAATCGAGAAGGTGACTTAGAAGGTGAGTTAGAATGTGACTTAAGTGAACGCAGCAGAGGGTGAGTTACTGGTAGAGGTAGGCAGGTGGTCGGGGACCCCCAGCAACAGCTGGTCACTGCCTTTGCAGTAAACCCCTCCTTTGGGCTGGAAGTCCAGGCCCTGCCCCTCCCGTTCCCGCCCAGCCCTGCTGCTTTGCCCCAAGTGTCCCCGCTGCTGAGGCAGACCAGCCCACGCCCCCCGGCCTGAGGACCGCAGGCACCCAGCCTCATCCAGGCCTTTCCTCTGGGCCTGCCTCTGCCCTGCTGGGCCTTATTTTTCAAGCCCCGTCTCTGCCGGAAGCTCCCTGGAGCCCTGGGGCTGGCCGTGGCTGTCCCTCCTCTGAACACCAGTAACTCTCGCCCTCTGCTGCGGAGATAATGTGAGACTCGAGCGTGGGGAGAGCCTGAGACACAGAACCCCCTGTGGCCTCGAGCCCTTGGCCTGCGCCCGCAGGCAGAGGCAGAGCGGCCGCACCCCTCTCAGCACCGTGCTCGGGCCTGCGGGCACCGGGGGGGCCAGGGCATCTGGGGCTCGTTGGCGGCCACTGAGCCCGCAGACCCGAGCGTGAGCTGGCAGCGGCCAGCCTGGGTTCCTGCTGCAGGCCCGGTGTGAGCTGTGTGACCCTCTGCACCGCAGGCGCCTGGGAACTGCTGGGAGGGTGGAGGGGCCGCCTCGCCGGGCGGCTGCGCAGACTGAATGGGAGAACGTGGCGAGCGCTCGGGGATGAGGAAGGCGACCATGGTGTCCTAAGCTCCACAAAGGACAGGGCCTCTGCCCCCGGGCGCTGCTGCTCTAGAGAGACCCCAGCCCCGGCTCGGACACCCCTGCCCACCCCCGCATGAATGGCAGCGCTGCTCTCTAGGCCTCAGTTACCATATCTACAAAATGGGGGCACTGATGTGGTTGATAATGGAGCAATCTTGTTTGTACAAACAGCTTGGGGGGGGTGGTCCAAGGAGTTCACTAGAGACCCAGAGAGTGAGGACAGCCGTCCAGGTGCTGGGGGGTAACTATGTCCCTGCCCTAAGGTGAGGATTTGAGGACGCAGCTTCTCCGTGAGAATGGCTTGATCCGTCCCTGGTCGGAATGAAGTGTCAGGTAGGAAAGATGTCCCCCGCCCTCGACGGTGGCCTCCAGCTGGGTCCTGGACTGGGCCGGTCATTTCCAGCTTGAGCGCGGCAGGTGCAGGCTGCACCCCAGACTCAGCTGCTCAGCTCAGGGACTGCGCCTCCCCCTTCCCCGCCCATGCACAAATGTGGCCACCGAGGCCTCCGTGTCTGCTGTCCCCACTCGCCCCTGAGCGTGACCACACCAGTCAGCTTCTGCTGTGTCCCCTCCCCGGCTGCAGCCGCACGCCTCTCCGGGAGGGCTCTGCCGTCCACACGCTTGCTGTCCTAAAGGCAAAGCAGGCGTTGGTGCTGCCCGGCCGCTGGACCATGTCACAGTACATGGGCCTGGGACGCCACCCCTCACTCTGCTCTCCCCTGTCTCCCCGACAGGCGGAACTGGGCAAGCCCCGGGAAAGGAGCTGCAGTCTGCCTGGCGTCGACTTCAACTACGGACTCTACGTCCGGGGGCTGGACGGAGGGGTCCCCGAAGGTGAGCGGGCGTGCCGTGGAGCACAGGGATAAGGGGTGGGCGGGAGGCTGGCCGCTCCTCACGGAGCTCCTGACCCAGGCCGGGGCTTGGCAGCTGGCCAGGTGCCAGAGAAAGACCCAGGAGGCCACAGTCTGGGCAGCCGCGTGGCAAAGCCCAGGGCATGGCCGAGACGGGGAGGACCACTTGGGGCAGGTCTTCCGTGTCGGACTACGAGCCCAGGACAGGCTCAGGAGCCACTGCAATGGCCCGAAGCGGGTGGAGGCCAGGATGGCCAGCTCCAGAAGAGTTCAGGTTCCCTCTGCAAGCCCTGGGGGCCTGACCCCTCCCTTTCTGGGCCGTGCTTTCTGGGAGCCAGGCAGGGCTGTCCCCCGTGGTCTCAGGTTGATGGGAAGGTAAAGGGCCACGTCCCCCTGCTTCTTCTCGGTCGGATGCCACTGGGAGCCATACTCCCAGACCGACAGCCGCCCGCCTCTCTGTCCTGTCGCTCCCTGCCCGCAGCCATCGGACACTGGAACGTGCTTAAGCAGCAGCCCACCTGCCCCCACGAGCTGACCCGGAATTTCATCGCCATGAACCGCGGGGCCGTGAAGGCTGGCCTGGTGACTGCCCGGGAGAACTTCCTCTACTGTCAGTTCAACGACATCCGCATCAGCGACCAGGATGACCGGCGCGTGAAGAAGGAACCGCCCTCTCTCCCTCCAAACATGACATTTGGGGTCCCGGCACGGTAAGGTGGCTCGAGGTGGGTGTGGGTGCTGGTAGAATCAGGGAGCAATGTCAGAGGGTGACAGGGAAGAGGACCATCCTCCGAGGCTCCCTGTCCTCACCCTCCCAAGACCCTCTCTTGTGTGACTTCTGTGGCCACGCCCTGAATCCAGCGAGCTGGCTCCTTGCCCGGCAGCAGGATACACTGTAGGGCTGTGCGCAGGCCACCCACCTTCCCTCAGTCCACAAACATTTATTGAGAGCTGTTTCTGCTCCCAGAGGGTTTAATAATCTGGGCGAGGAAGGGGGAGAGCCTGCCAGGTTACCCCAACGTGGCACCATCCTTGTGAGGCCACGGGAGAGGTTCTGGAGCCTGGGCTCCAACCTGGACTCTGTCTGTGACTAGCCGTGGGATCCTTGCCTCAGTTTCTGCATCTGTAGAATGGGGACAATAATAGCATCTGCTCCCTAGCATTGCTGAGTGGTTTCAGTGACAGAACGCATATGAAAACCTCAGCATAAGGCCTGGGACATGTCAAGCACTCAATAAATATTAGCTACTACTATTGTTAAAATGATATAATGTGAACTGTAGATCAAGAGCTATGAAATCTTTTTAAATTTTATGTTGAGGTTGGACTTGTACACAGTAAAAAGCACAAATCGGGAAGCGTTCAGCTTGATGAAATTTCACAGCTGGAAACACCCATGTCATTACCACTCAGGTAAAGATACACACCCGGCGCCCCAGAAAAGCCCCTGCCTTGCCCCTGAGACGCTACCGCTCTGGGGCCCCGCCAGCGCCGCAGGTGAGATGAGTCTGTGCACACATCCCGGGGGCCCCCACCCTCAGCACTAGCAACGCTGCGACCTTTGCCGCAAGGACACAACCAGCCTGGGGCTTAGGTCAGCTCCTGAATGCCAGTGAGGACCCACGTGCTGTACAGAAAGGCAGAGAGATGGGGACACTGCCCATAGGAAAGGACTTTCGGTGCCCCGCGCCCCCTCCAGTCAATGCCCGTCTTCTCCCGCACCTCTGCAGGAGCCTGCTGCTGACTGCTTTCCCTGCTTCCAGCACTGGCCCTTCCCGAGGCGCCTGGCACATTGCCACGGAGCTCTCTCTCTCTGATGCACAGATTAGACTGTGCTGTTCCCTACACAGACACCTGTAACAGCTCCACAGGCAGGGACTTTATCCTCATGGCTGCTTTTGCCCACCGGGCACTGGATCCCCTCTTTCTGCAAACAGACCCCTGATGGTACATCTTTTCCACCATCAGCCCGTGCGGACCCTGGGACCGAATTCGCCCCCGACTCCAGGGAGGGGAACATGATCAGGCCTGGCCCGCCAGAGGGTCCAGATTCCCCATGTGGCCCAGGCCTGGCCCATCAGTGTATTTCATAAACGCCGGTCACAGTGGTGGGTTCAGGGTCGGACGTGTGACCCATGTCCCAACCCTGGCACGGCTGACATTCCACAAAGGGAGAATGCAGTTGCATGTAATCAATACTCAACTCAAACTGCACTGATTTTCTTTAAGGAGAATTTGTTGGCTCCCAGCATGGAAGAGCCCAGGGGTGGAGCTCCAGGCACAGCTGGCCCCAGGCAGTCAGGCAGCGTCATCTGTCCCGGCTCTGCTTCCTGGTTTGGGCTCCATTCTCTGACAAGCTTCCTCCTCACCTGACAAGATGGATGGTAGTGGTTCCATTCTCACCTCCTGTTCTCTTAGTGGGCCCAGTGCTGAGGGGTAGGGACCACAAAAGCCTTGAGAGCCAGGTCTTCCGTCCAGCTTGGGTCATACGCCCACCCCTGTGACTGGGGCTTGTGAAGGACACTGATTGGCCAGACTGAGTCACATGTCTGCTTCTGAGCCAATTGCCGAGGCCAGGAGAATCTGAAGCCCTCTGATTGGCCAGGCCCAGTCACATGCCCCTTCCTGGAGTGGGGGTGGTGAATTGGGTCCCCAGGATTTGCACGGGCCACTGGTGGAAAAGATGTATGGCCAGGGCTGTTTCCTGCAGGGGACAGATGCCTGGCAGGCAGAAACAGCAAATGTCCCCTGCACAGGGCTCTGTGACCCTTTCTGCATCAGGGCACAGGCTTATCATTGCTGCAGCGGTCACTGAGATTTGTCATTGCACCGAGCAGACAAATAGAAGCGGCTGCTCTCAGACACCAGTGAGCTGCCTGGGCCTCCACGTCCGGCCACCTGTGACTGACAAGGCCAACGTCTCGGCCCACCTGTGTGGCAGTGTCCCCCTCGGCCCTCAGTCAAGGCCACTGACATTCCATCCCCAGCCTGTCTTCCCAACCTCCCTCCTGCTGTTCCTGGGCCAGGAGCCTTCCTTTGACTATGCCGCCATACTTTTTCAGTTTTAGGTGGTTCCTTCTTTATTTTTTCTAATTTTTTTATTATGTAAACTCCACCTATTTGCCGTTTTATCACTTTTAAATGTATAGTTCAGTGGGAATGATTACATTCACATTATTGTGCAACCATCACCCCCATCCATCCACAGAACTTTTTCATCTTCCAGAACTGAACCTGTGTCCCCATTAAACACTAACTCCTCCTTCCCCTCCCCCGCAGGTCTTGGTAAACATCATTCCGCTTTCTGTTTCTATGAAATCGACTATTCTAGGTAGCTCATGTAAGTGAAATCATGCAATATTTGTCCTTTTGTGTCTGACTTATTTCACTTACCATAACGTCCTCAGGGTTCATCCATGTTGTGGCATGTATCAGAATTCTATTCCTTTTTAAGGCCCAGTAATATTCCCCTGCACGGATAAACCACATTCTCTTTACCCACTCATCCGCTGATGGACATTGTGCGGTTTCCACCTTCTGGCTATGGTGAAAAATGCTGCCATGAGCATGGGTGTACAAATGTCTGTCTGAGTCTCTGCTTGCAGTTCTTTTGGGTCTATAAACAGAAGTGGAAGTGCTGGATCGCATGGTAATCCTATGTTTAACTTTTGGGGACCCACCAGGCTATTCCCCGCAGCATGTGTGGCCATACTTTTGCACGGCCTCGCACTCGTGGGCCTCGCCTACTCATGCTGTGAAGTTCAGCTCAGCACCCCCTCTTTGGTAAGCTTTCCCAGCTCCCATGCCCCCAAATACTAGGCACATCTTTCGCCAGAAATGCATTTCTATTCGCCTTAAAACCTGGGAGGTGACACTGGAGACACATTGGAAAGCCACCTCCGGCTGGATCGACGAATCCCCGGCACACCGTAATTTCCCCACCTTTGAAACCATCCCTCCAGGGTGTCTCCATGATTTTCACCAGCTCATCGGGCTCTTTGTGTGCAGCTCCGCAGCACGCGTGCCCCTCGCCCGCCTTGCTCCCGCAGACTCTCTGGGGCAGAGAGGAACAGGAACTCCGTGCTGCGCACCGGGTCACTGGATTAGTCCATGCAGGTGACCGAGTGTCTCAAAGGCAGTGTGGTGTCGGGGAGGAGCCCTGGGCCAGGAGTCGGCCTGCGTGCTGGTCCCAGTTTTGTCCCCAACTCTCCACGTCACATCACCCGGGGCCTCCCACTTCCTCGTCTGTGAAAGGGGTCCCACCAGTGACACGCACTAATCACAGCATTCTGTGATCCTCAGGACGTGCTCTGTCTCCCGGCTTGTCTGCAAACCTTCACACCAATTTATTTTCATCGTCATTCAAACCCTGGGCGGGAGGGCAGGATTACTACCCAGTTGAGGCAGGGAGAGGTTAATTGACCTCCCTAAATTCATACAACTTTATCATGGTGGGGCTTGGCCTGGATTCCCAACCTAGTATGCTTATATTTAAAAACAGAAAATAATAGAACATTTAGGACATCAGCAATCACCTGGTTTGAAGTCCCTATTTAAAATAGAAGAAGGCCGGGCGCGGTGGCTCACGCCTGTAATCCTAGCTCTCTGGGAGGCCGAGGCGGGCGGATTGCTCGAGGTCGGGAGTTCAAAACCAGCCTGAGCAAGAGCGAGACCCCGTCTCTACTATAAATAGAAAGAAACTAATTGGCCAACTAATATATATAGAAAAAATTAGCCGGGCATGGTGGCGCATGCCTGTAGTCCCAGCTACTTGGGAGGCTGAGACAGAAGGATCGCTTGAGCCCAGGAGTCTGAGGTTGCTGTGAGCTAGGCTGACGCCACGGCACTCACTCTAGCCTAGGCAACAAAGTGAGACTCTGTCTCAAAAAAAAAAAAAATAAAATAAAATAAAATAAAATAAAATAGAAGAAAATAGCAAGAAGTTCAGAGAGGTGAAGAGAGCTTCCCAAGGTCACACAGCAAGGTGCTAACCACGCCAGGTCTAGAGTCAGGCTGGCAGACTCCCTATCCAGTGCTCTGTGCTCTGTGTCCTGCCCCCTTGGGTCTGAGGTGCTGTGTGGACACCCACAGACCCTGGTCCCCGGGCTAAGGTTTTCCATTTATCGGTTGAGTCAGCTGGGCTTGGAGAAGACATCCATTACCACCCAGCTTTCAATACAGAATCTTAAATTGCTCTAGAACCGAGTGGCCACAATTCAGGGGAAGGACGTGATGAAGTGCCGGCTCTATCTTCTGTGATGGTAAATGGGCTTTGCATATGCAAATTGAATGGATTTTAAAATGGTATTTAATGACAATTTTCGTAGCAGACATTAACATTAATTGCACAAAAATGAAAATGCTGCATTAGGTTGCTGTTAGCAGCAAATATCGCGGCCATAAAGCTTTGTCTTTATCAGCAGCAGCCCTTTCCGATGTGACAGGGCAGCTCGGCAAATTGCAGGCAAAAGGGCTTTTATGGAACAGAAATAGCCCCCAAAGCAGGCCCAAATCAGCATCAATTTCGCTTTATTTCTTCGTAAATGGAGGTTAAATGGCTGCTGGAAAAGCTTTTACGGAGAAGCCCAACCTGCCTGGAGAAACCCTCCCACCTTCCGGCATAAATAAGCAGGGACGGTTAAAACACCATCACCCCTCCCTAATGGGGCTATTACTTTAAAGTTATGGGGCCACGGCCCATTCGCTACTG